CGATACAAACTTTTAAGTTAGACAGTCAGTATGTTTCTCGTCACTTTAAACTTCACCACTTTTATTAATGCACACTATAAATCACAGTGAGTCACAATCTCGATAATTTTGCTCTCTACGAGTGCAAAACACATGCTAGCTCGAAACAGAATCATAAATTACCTGAAACTCACAGTGACTACTGTTCTCTTAACCATACATTCATCATTCCCTGGCTTTCCTCTACCAGGCTTATATACTAATGAAGAGGCATCTACAACATTCGAGGAGTTCCCTGATAATTCGAAAAACTCAGTCACGCATGCGCCAGCAGTGTCACGTGACTTCCGCTGTCGTAACAATACTAAACATAGAATTTAACTGACTAGTGTGAAACGCCTAAGCTGACGTAATATTGAAGGTTTTGAGGCAGAACAAAAGTGATAAAATCACGCTTGACTTCAGAGGTTTTTCAAATAATCATTATAATTAATTTATGAATTTTGCTCCATAGAAATGTTAGAATAACATTTAACCTATGTGTTGTTTACCACAAATCCCTGCTCAGAAGGCCTTTCCTTCAAGTACTAAAACTCATTCTCTGGATTGAATTTGAATGTTGCTTCTGTGCAGTACAATTAAACTAAACTAAATCCGTTTATTGTTTGTCAAATATTCAAGTGCTAAATAATTAGTAACATACACTGTGGAATAGTAATGACAATAGTATTAATTACACAGATGTTTCGATATTTTAAAATTGAAACTTCCGATAGAAGTCAGTTATGAGCAGTAATTGTGCAACTGAGGCTAAGCCTTCTTCAAAGCTTAGTTCAGTGGCAACATTAATTTTAGTTCCTCTATAACTGATCCTTCAGTCTGAGATGTTTACTTTAAAGTATCATTGTGTTTGTTTTATCATATTTTAATTATGTATATTTTAATAGTGAGAGAAACTTGATAAAGGTCTATTTGATACAAAGAAAAAATTCAGGAACAGCATGATAAGATCTCGAAATACAAAGTTCCATTTGATTGCATTTTGCATACTTCTATATTACTATAACTGAGCTATACTGTTACTAGTAGTGTTAATAATATCTGTCTGTGGAATTTTCGGTTTTGCTTTGTTATCTTGTAACTCAGTGAAAATACAGATAGCAAAATCCAATCTTAACTTAAACAAAAAATAACTAAGAATATTTCCTTGCTGGGTGCAACTAACAGACAAAGTTATTATTTAGTATGTTACCGGATCGAGAAAGATACTGAAGTCCATACATTCAAAACTTTGAATAATATCGATATATTGCTGGATGCACTAATGGTCATAATGATACTATTCAGCCAAAATAAGCTGACTTGATATTGAATTGAATGTTCGTTGTCCACTTACTGATTGGCACAGTTAGAATGCATGAGAAACAAAAAAATGACAGATCACTATTGTAGTTTTAGTGGAAAATAGTTCATATGCTCTTTCTTGTGGTAAAGATTAGATGAAATATATTGAATGTACTGAGGGCTATGTTAACCCTTCTATCCCAGACTCCTTTGGAGAGAGTTTTTGATTTCTTATACATGGGATACAACTACACCAGCTAGCAATATAATTACTGTGCGTCTTGTATTTCATCGTTTATATAAATTGTATCAGATCTTATAAAGGACACTAAAGATTTAAAAAAGAAATTCTCTAGTGGGTTTATTTATTTTATTTTTTTACATAACCAATAAAACTAGTGTTTGCGAAAGTAAAGTTACATTATCTTCAAGTAATATATTTTTAATGTGAGAAGTTAACAACTGCTGCATGAGGAAAAGATGCATGGTATTGTAACATGTTTCTGAGAGAGTATATATAAAGAATTGATGATGACAAAACCTTGTCGAAACGTTGTACATTTGCTGTTATATTAAACTTATATTAAAGTTTTTCTTCATTACCCATTCAAGCCGTCTCCAGCCATTATATAAAGAATTGGTTTAGAGGGTGGTCACTAAATCAACAAATTTTGGGGAAAAAACAACTTTTAATGGGTTTAGATAAGCCTCGTGGTTTTTCCATAACAACTGCTGAGCAAGTAAATTCTGTAGTAGCACGAGACAGCTAACGCAAAAATTAAACAAAAATGTTATGAAGTATAACACCCCTACATAAATATTAATTTTAGAAGTACAAACTTCAAGCCATAATTTGATACTTAGTTTGTCTTAGAAGCTAAGTATTTACACATTTAAACCTTCACATCAAAATTGCAATGCTTTCGTAGTAACCTATGATCCTATATTATCATGGTATTGTTTCGTTTTTATTTTTTTAAAGTTTACCTTTTTTGAAGTGATTGCTAGTCTGAATTCTTTTGGAAACTCAAGATGGTCGTTTTATTGCTTTTTTGTGATTGGTGAAACCGAGAAAATGCCGTTCTCTGCACCCGCATGTCTTTGTTCATATCTTTAAAAGTAATTACTCTATGAATGTCTGTAATAAAATTTAATATTATGTGTATTGATTTTTTTTTTACTCCTTCACTTCGTACATAATATAGGGATTAGCTCCCTAGAGCGCACACAGCATTGAATATCTACAAGTTACAGTCATCTAAGGTTCATCTATTACACAGGCCTGCAAGTTTAAACTTCATTCAAGTTATTTTGGTTTTAATA